TACCTTTACGTGTGTGTATCTGCGTGACACTGGACTTTTTAAGTAAACTCCACCATATTGCAGCATTTGTCAGAAACTAAGATACAGGCGGTGAATTCGGATGATTGTCACAGCCAGACGAACAATGTAGACATTTTATCAGAATATCTATTGATCCTAACAATGTACATACTCTGTCCGGGTCAAGCGAAGCAATGTCATTCGGAGTGGTGAAATTTTAATTCCCCTCAGTCTATTAGCGGATGGAATTGATTCCAGTAAATTATCTCGAAGCAAGCCATCACTGTGGGGACATGGTTAACTAGCAGGCCATTACTAGACAATATTTTGCCAACACTTAGATGTGCAGATAGTGCAAAGTTTAGCGGCTCGGAAGGCGAAAGTGACGAGCTATGTTCGAATCCAGTTTGTTACGTCATTTTTTCTTCCAAGTACACAAGGTATGATTTCATCCTCCTCGCTTTCCCCAAACAGCCACGAGTTAAATAGTTGGACAGACTGAGCTCTCTAGCCAAGCAACTAATGTATAAGAACGATACTACTGAATCCAAAACCGTATCACTCGAATCCATGTATAGAAAAAAAAATGTATACACATGGGGGGTGCATATACTGCGTCTGTAAAACAAGAACACCACATATTACCGAAATTATGGATAATTCCACGGGAAGCGATTATCCATATATTATTTACAGCAATTGTCATAGAGCTTAAGGAAGTCTAATATCCCTACAATTGCGACCTTGTGTCAAGACCAAACTTATATATATATATATGTATATATATATATATACACAGACATACATACTTATATATATATATATATATATATATATATATATATATATATATATATATATATATGTCGAGTACTTTAGAGGGAAATCGCGAATTTGTAAACAGTGACTGCTACTGCTGATAATGCAAAGCTCTTATATGAATCGAGATTTCTGAATCACAAGCGTGTTCATTCAAAAATAACCGAGAGCTGATAGCTTCGGTAACAATCTTCGAGTGATGCCAAATCAGCCGGGTTTCGAGGCAATCGGATGTCTAGTCACACTGATATGCTGGAATACAGCGAAACAATCTGTCTGCGGATGACTATATATATATATATATATATGTATATATATATATATAGCAATATCAGTGGTAAGTATTTACGATTCCAATGGAATAAATTATGACTATGGAATATTAGTGTTTAAGCCTTTTTATCATATATATATATATATATATATATATATATATATATATATATATATATATATATTTATCAAGGTTTATGTGAGGATTTTATTTTGCAACAAGTATTTATAAACAAAAGTAAAAAAAGATGTTGTTAGCTCTTTTCAGAATGTATAAATTTAATAGACACTCCTAAATATACAGCAGGTTAACTGAAACATATATATATATATATATATATATATATATATATATATATATATATATATATGAATGTATGTATATATATGTGTGTGTGTGTGTGTGTATGTATGTGTATGAGCAGCAATGAGCGTATTTCGCAGAAAAGTAAAGATGGTTGGCCAGGATATTTCTAGAAGATAATTTTACGTATCAATAAGACCAAGCTTAGAATATTGTTGCAACATATGGTCCGGTGTCCCTGCTTCTCCTTGATAAAATCCAAAGAAGAATCAGCAATATTATTGGTCCTGGTATGGTTAATCGGCATCACTCACATTCCCATTGCCGTAAGGTTGTCTTTTCTATAAATAATTTCATGGTAATTGTTCGAATAAGCTCTTCGCTATGTTACCAACACATTTTGAATTTAAGTGCAGTACAAGAATGGCGTCGAGATCTCAGTAATGAGCTGGCATGTAACCGTAAATCCTATGCTAACAGTTTCTTTCCTCACACTTCTAGTTTATGGATCTCCCTTCCAGTTTCATTTTTTTCCAGCTAGCTTTAATCTACAAAACTTTAAACGCAATGTCAATCGCTATCTACTGTACCCCAAATTATTCTCTTATTCTTTTTGCTCATTATTAATGACTCTCATCCTAATTCTTACACGCCTTGTAACCCCTTGATTCTTAGTGGCTTTATTCTCTTGAATGGGATGATACTGATTAAAATCATCCTGGGTAAGGTGTTAAACTACATACACGTCCTGGTTAAGATGACAAGCTACGTCCAGCAGCAAGGCCTCTGGTTAGGTTGTTTTGTGGAGCGTGGAAACACTTTTTAATTGCTGGTGTTCCCAGGCCCACCCTGACTCAGGGTGATAGCACCTGTTAGGGTCCCAGCTATGGGCAAATAGTTAACTATTACCAGCAATACTTTTTTGAAAAAACTATTTCCAGTAATACAATTTTGAAGGAAAATATTACCAGAAACAGAATTTGACAAAACAAAATATTACCAGCAATAAAAAAAATTGTCGACATTAAATAACCCATTGAAGTTGAGATGCCGTAAAACAAAATAAACCAAACTAATCTAGAATAAACAATACATATTCAAATCATACGAATCTATCCCGAAAATGTTGTCGGCATTAAATAACCCATTAAGGTTAATATGCCGTAAAACAAAATAAACCAAACTAATCTAAACCAAAGAATACATATTCTATTCATACGACTCTATCCTAAAAATATTGTTGGCGTTATATAACCCATTGAGGTTGATATGCCGTAAAACAAAATAGACCAAACCAATCTAAACCAAAGAATACATATTCTCTTCATACGAACCTATCCTAAAAAATGTTGTCGGCATTAAATAACACATTGAGGTTGATATGCCGTAAAACAAAATAAACCAAACCAAACCAAACGGATTAAAAAAATAGATAACTTTTTTTTTTTATAGAAGGCAATTCTTGTAAATATATTTCATGATTTTAAGTGATACAGAATTAATAATAATAAGTAAAATTAAAAATACATTTCCGTTTTCGCCTTTTAGTGTTTTGCATAGTTTGCATCCACTCATCTAAAAGCCTTTATTAGGAATTTGAATTTATTTTCGGAAACAGTGAAAATACATTTCTGAAAAATGAATTCAATTTATCTGTCAAGACTCTTGGGGGAATGGATGTAATTTCTGCAAAACTGAGGGTAGGTACAAGTTAAGTAAAAAAATTAATTTTACGCTTGATCCATTGTTGCGTTCTGTGTCGTCTCTATATCCACACGTTACTAAATAAAATGGTATCATCGAAAAAGGCCATTTAATCTGGTATTCGTTTTATTAAGAGCAGCAGTTTGGATTCTAAGAAGAAAGGAGAAACGACGGCACAGGAAAGCTTGAAGCACGTTGTTTCAGCGTCCCTCAGTGTGTGGTATCAGCCGGTCGCAAACGTGGATGGGGGAAGCATATCGACACTCCAGAATTATTGAGACCCTCCACTGAATACATCGTTTTGGAATTATATTTAAAACCCAGAAAAAGGTAATCCATCACTTTCGAAATGCCTCTCCCACGAGGCACTCCGGCAAATCCTTACTTTCGCATTCTGTAACATTACATCCATTTTTTCTTTTTCAGTATGCATAGTAATGTGTATTTTAAATGATTGCCGAGTGTGATTGGTACCTTATTCATCCATCTCTCGCTATGATTCCAGAACCAGCGCCATATCCACGAGTCAAAAGAAATATTATACAACATAACAAAAACATACATTCAGACATATGTTATAACAGCAAATAAAGCATTACAGAAATTTTCAACAATATAAAACATGATAATTTTCCTTACATCAACACTGGCATAAATGAATAAGATATAGACACGTGCTCCGTATTTGATCGGGTGTTGGTTTACTCAGTACCACGCCAATTCGATTTCTCCAGTTAGGTCACTTCATGCAACTTATTCTAGTGATGTTATTATTTATGGCATCTGTTGCAGGAACACAAAAAGCAATTTTTCAAAGCCGCACATGTGGTTTTTACATTTTTCTTTTCTTTATTTTTGTTTAGTCCGTCTGCACAAAGGTGCATGGAAATGTCTTTCCGTTTGCTCTTTGGCAAAACCCAAAGAACTGTTCATTCACCTTTATTTTTAACAAGAATTGCTTTGTATATGTCTTTAGTTCACAGTTCATGCGTACGCATGCGCATGTGTGCGTCTGTGTGTATGCGCGCGATCTGTTTTAGTGTTTCTTCTTTCCGCAGTGTATACGCCAATCATTTTGTAAAGTCTACTGCATTTATCTCTTGAAACTCATTAGCTCAATACTGCTTAAATGGCAGAATCTAGTTTCGTTTTAAAATATTTCTGTGAACGCGTTAAGCCTTTTATTAATTTTCCTTTTTCCTACTCTTTTCGTCTATATTACACGTGAACTTCCTTTCTAAACTAGTTTCTCAGTTTTCACCCTCCCTATTAGATGTTTGTATTATGTTCATTGTTTTCTTTCTCATTTTATTTCCATAAATATCGCGGGGTTAAAAGTTGGGTCGAATCGGAATCACTGTAATTATCATACAGCCGTATCTGTGGGGATCGTGTACACTTATTCTCCTTATCACAATTTCAACCATTATTTTACTCATCAGAACCCTCATTCATCGCGAGATAGCTATCAAAGTATGCACCATTTTAGTCGCACATACCTCCATATCGTCATTACTATTTGCACCAGAGAAGCTATTTATATTCCTGGTATTACTTATGGCCGTATCATTTTCTTCTGATCTCCTTTGACGCACCTCAATATGACGTTCCATCATCGGAATATCTGAGTCAGCTTCCGCTAATTTATCCCGCTTATGATGGTTTCTCTAAAAGACTAAGTCTCTTACTTTAAAGCCTTCGTTATTAGAGCGTTTTTATTTGGTACAGCAAATGCTTCAGGCCGCGGGGTGAAAAGTCGGCTGAATCGGAATCACTGTGAATATCATACGTATCTGTGGGGATTGTCTATACTTATTCACAATTACTAATACTATGGCCCCAATCAGAACTCTCATTCGTCGTGAGAAACCTATCAAAATTCCATTTTAGTCGCACATACCTCCATATCATCATTACTATTTGAACCTGAGAAGCTATTTCTATTCCTTGTATTACTTATGACAGCATCATTTTCTTCTGCTCTCCTTTGACGTACCACAATATGACGTTCCATCATCGGAATATCTGACTCAGCTTCCAAATCGTCTCGTTGGCGTCTTCATTTATTTTATAGGTCCTTGTTTCCTTTGTTATCTGAGTCGTTCATAGATTCCTTGGAGAGTACAGGGGCTTCTAGGGTTACCATTTTTAGTGGCCTGTTATCAGCGGGAATTATTCATTCCTGAATATGCGTTGCCCTAAGGTGTTTATTATGGGACTTAACTACCAAGCTAGTTAACTAATCCTTTTATCTTACAAGTTACTGGACTGGCCTTCTCGACTACTACGCAATATGGCTGCCACATCATGTCTAATTTGTCCTGCTTATGATGCTTTCTCTAATCGACTAAGTCTCTTACTTTAAAACCTACGTTATTAGTTCAAATATTAGACCTTTTCTATATGTCGTTTCTTCGTTTTCTATAAATTACTCTTAACTGGTTTAAATGTCTGGTGTTGTTCCTGTAGCGCGATCTTGTAGCGTTCATATTGATAATAAAGACGACATAGTTTTAAGATATTATCCAGCGGCAGGACGATGTTCCTATTGTAAAATAAGTAGTGCGGTGCGAATTTTGTCGACTCGCTAACGTTAAACCTAACTGTTGTGAGCATCTGATTAATATACAAATGCCATGATCTATCATTGTTTCTAATTTTTTTGATAAAATATAGTGCAGCCGTTCTAATTTACCGTTGCTGTGTGGCTGGTAGAACGGTGTCGTCACGTGGTGTACATTTAAACTTTCTAGCGTCTCTTTCATAAATTTATTACCATTCTATGTACACTTATCGGTTACTAGTTGAAAAGGGGCGCACAATCTAGGGAATATTTCACCTACTAATGAGTAGACGATCGTCTGAGCCTTTTTATTTGGTACAGCAAAAGCTTCAGGCCGCGGGGTGAAAAGTCGGCTGAATCGGAATAACTGTGGTTATGATACGTATCTGTGGGGGTCGTCTACACTTATTCGCCCTATCACAATTACTAATACTATGGCCCCACTCAGAACTCTCATTCGTCGTGAGAAACCTATCAAAATTCCATTTTAGTCGCACATACCTCCATATCTTCATTACTATTTGAACCGGAGAAGCTATTTCTATTCCTCGTATTACTTATGGCCGTATCATTTTCTTCTGCTCTCCTTTGACGTACCACAATATGACGTTCCATCATCGGAATATCTGACTCAGCTTCCAAATCGTCTCTTTGCTGTCTTTTATTTTCTAGGTACTTGTGTCCTTCGTTATCTGAGTCGTTCTTAGATTCCCTGGAGAATACCGGAGCTTCTCGGGTTACCCCTTGTAGTGGCCTGTTATCAGTGTTATTCATTCCTGAAAATGCGTACCTTTATCTGTTACTAGTTGAAGAGGGGCGCATAATCTAGGGAATATTTCACCTACTAATAAGTAGACGATCGTCTAAGCCTTTTTATTTTGTACAACAAATGCTTTAGACCAGCCTGAGTACATATCAGTAAAGATTACTATGTACTGTTTTCCTGATAGGGTCTATGGGTAAGGTCCGGAAATATCTAAGGCTATCTTAGCGAAAGAAAAAGGCGGCATATCGTACTCCTGCATATGGAAGTTGGAACTTTCGAAAATTTCTCGTTTGGCAGGGTATACACTTCCCTACAAACTCCTCAACATCTTTAAACAGACATGACCAGAAATATTTCAGTTTCATCGCTTGGGACATCTCCGTTCCCATGTGACCATTATCATCGTGGTACTGCACGAAAACGCGCTTATGGAAATGTGATGGAATGCAAAGCCTGAATATCGGGTTGTAGTCTGGTTGAAATAAATAATACACAATTTCGTCAGAATGTATTTTTGGTCCTCTGACTTACTAGCCTTACTCTTTTGAATTCTACGTTTGTGTTCTAAAATATCTCTATCTGCCTCCTGCTTCATAATTATGTCTGTCAGATAATGTGGTTTGGTTTGGTTTGTTTTGTTTTACGGCATATCAACCTCAATGGGTCATTTATTTATTTATTTATTTTTTTTTGTAATATTTTTGTTTTGTCAAAAATCTATTTCTGTTAATATTATTTTCTCAAAAACGTATAGCTGGTAATATTATTTTTTTCAAAAACGTACAGCTGGTAATATTTTTTTTTTCAAAAACGTACAGCTGGTAATATTATATTTTTTCTCAAAAACGTACAGCTGGTAATATTATTTTTTTCAAAAACGTACAGCTGGTAATATTTTTTTTTTCTCAAAAATGTGTAGCTGGTAATATTATTTTTTTCAAAAACGTACAGCTGGTAATATTTTTTTTTTCTCAAAAATGTGTAGCTGGTAATATTTTTTTTCAAAAACGTACAGCTGGTAATATTTTTTTTTTTTTCTCAAAAACGTATAGCTGGTAATATTATTTTTTTCAAAAACGTACAGCTGGTAATATTATTTTTTTTCTCAAAAATGTATAGCTGGTAATATTATTTTTTTCAAAAACGTACAACTGGTAATATTTTTTTTTTTTCAAAAACGTATAGCTGGAAATATTATTTTTTTCAAAAACGTATTATCAGTCACGTAATGTGTGTCTTTCTCTTGGGGAATTGCGTAAACCTTTTCTGTAAGTAGCAAGTGTCGGGGATCGAAGTTATTCGAATTAATAGCGCTAACCTTATATATTTTATTACCTACGCCGCCTTGCTTTATTAAATGATCACTAAGCGCATCCATCGAGCATGACAATATATCTGTGCAGAAGACATCCCGACCTTGTAAGTACTCTATTTTACATTTGTAGTCCGCAATTCTGAAAGCTCGCAGCTGCATTTTCTTGTTCTGAATGGAAGATTTGAAAATATACTGTGGTGGTTTAGGGTCTATGTAGATAATGAATTTCGCACTATGTAGCCAGTATTAAACATTTTGCAATGCGTAGTGGACGGCTTACACTTCTTTTTCAATAACTGAACACCTCTTCAGCGTATCATTCAGTTTGTGAGATAAGAGGCATACAGATTTTTTGATTTCGTTTTTCCATTTCTAGGCAGTCACAAACCTGGGTGTGGGAGGTATATCGACACTTCAGAATTCTTAAGACCCTCTGTTGAATACGCACTCTTTTGGACTTATATTTAAAACCGAGACAAATCGATCTCTATCAGAATAACTTCCACAAGAGGCACTTTGACCCATCGCTGATCATTCTGGCCCTGTGCTTCGTATTCTGTAAAACCATTCTCATATATGGGCGACAGCAGATGTAGCTTTCTAGTTTCGCAAAGGTTTTACATTCTCTTGTGCTGATGCGGCATGTTTTGCAGTAGTTGTTACTTTAATATTATTATTTAATATATATATTTGTGTGTGTGTGTGTGTGTGTGTGTGTGTGTAAAAATATATAGAAAATAGGAAAGAACTCGTAAGGTAAATAATCTGAAGTTATTTAGTATTTTTGTTTTTATTTTTAAATAAAAATGCTCGATACAAAAGTAGAGACTAGATATAATTATTTATTTATAATATGATTCCTTCGCTACATAATAGTTCTCATGATTCAAAAACAAGAGCTGAAAATTTCAATATAATGATTAGAATTAAATTGAAATAAAATACCAAACTCCGTTTCATCTTCAAGCGAAATTTTTAGAATAACTAATCTTGAAATTTACGCGTCTTTAAAAGCATATTCATTATTAAATTTAAATTTAAATTACTATGTAAACGGCTAGAGCAATTGTTTTAATAAGGGACGTAAGGGTTAATAATTTGTATCAATATCTCAGTTACTTTCGGAAAGAGGTCAAGTCAAGGTAGGGTTGGGGTGTCCAAATTAAAGCGGAAGATGGCATTTAAACTCTTACCGTTTCCACTGTTTAAGAATATAAATCATTCTACGTACGGCGTTAACTAATTGTTTTCTTTTTTTCATGTTCACGCTTCAAGGATTTAGATGGGGATTGAAAAGCGACCTGCAAAAAGAGAGAACATGCCCTTGCAAAAGGATAATGCATGTACTTGTTTTTGTTATACCATGTTCTATGATTGTGAGCCCGGATGTGTCGACCCACTTCATCTAGGCGTCACCTTCCAACAAATTCTAGCTCGTTTGGAGAGGCTGAATATTTCTCGTTATGTAGCTAGCGTTTTTATTTTGTCTTTTCTTATTTCACCGTTTTTTCTAGTTCCTGTTTTCATATCAGCTACCGTAGTTTTTTTTTGTTTTTGTTTTTTTTACTTCGATGATTATTTTAGTTATTCGCTTTTTAAAGCTGGAATAATATTTTGTGTTTCGTTTAAGATGCCAATAACGTTGAACCAAATTTAATTTAGAATATCCGCTGATCTCAAATGAGACATCAATTCTTTAGGCCCGCCTTTTTATGGTTTATATGAACGGCTTCCGCGAAGGTAAAAAGGAACCTGGAAGTATTATACTCAACACCAGAAAGGGAAAATTAGCTAGGGTCTATAATAAGGAAAGTGGGCGCGACAAAATTGATGCTCGCAGGACTGATTGATGAACGGTCAAATCGGTAAAGGGCCAAAACCCTCAACCAGTGTGAAATGAAAGTTATGAGGATAGGGAAGATCAATAACGATCGTCCTTGGTATGACGATAAACTACATCCGGCAGCAAGGTCTCTGAGTAGGAGATTTGAGGTTTTGAAGAGACTACCTCTTAATTGCTGTTGTTCCCAGGTCCACCATGACTCGTGGTGGTAGCACCTGTTAGGGTTCCCACTATGGGCAAGTAGAGAACTCCCAAGCAAAACCAGTACAGTTTTATAATAAAAAAAATGGAAGATCAGTAAATAGTATCAAATCACTCACATTCTCAGCACTTTGACATATTTTATGAAGAGAAGTCCACAAAATCTGTGTCCCTTTTCTTGACAGAAAGCAACAATTATCTTACTGTATTTCCCATTTTTTATTATCATTTTATTCGGCTTACAGCCATATAACACTAAAAAACCGGTTCTCGTACAATCATTAAAGTTAAGCAACGCCAAGCCTGGTCAGTACTTAAATGAGGGA